TCAGTCACTTCATCCCCCAAACCGTGACACTCTCCTACTCTCTTCTCTCTGTAAATTTGTCCCCTCCTCCCTCTACGATTCTCATACAAAACCCTTGCCTCGATTCTTGTTTGTCAAAGCGAGTGTCCTTGTGTTTTTTAGGCTTAGAACCTTACTTTAAGGAGTGATTAGAAGACTTGAAAGTGGTTTTTAGTGTGTTTTGAAGATCAAAATTGAAGGACAAAGCTTGTTCTTGGAACATCTCACCCTTTCAACCTCTTTCCTCCATATGTTTAGTTGTTAAAGCTTCAAAGAGGTAGGGTTTTTCTCATATCTTGTTTAGAAAGCATGCTAGCGTTTTATTTCAAAATTTATGGCATGATTTTATCTATGGAAGTATGATTAGTGTGTACTTGTTCTAAAATATGAGTTATTTAGTTGATTCATGCCTTTGTTTGTTTCTCATTTGTTGTATGCAGATGATGCCCTAATTTTTTGTGGGGTGGCGGTGGAGCAGGTGGTTACTTGAGATGTATTCTGTTGTGTTTTTTAGGCATGATCGGGCCTCCGGGTGAATTTGAGGAAGTTCGAGTTGACTCCAGTGGGGGAGGTGGAGAGGTTGCCAGTGCTAGCGGCAATGTTGGGGTGTAGGGTATCGGCTTTACCGGTGACTTATCTGGGTTTACCATTGGGAGCAACGTTTAAGGAAAAAAAGGTATGGAAAGGGGTTATGGAACGCATTTAGTGCTGGTTAGCAGGGTGGAAGAGGCAATATCTTTCAAAAGGAGGGAAGATTGACTTTGATAAAGAGTGTTGAGCAACATTCCGACATACTTTTTGTCTTTGCATCTTATCCCGGTGTCTGTGTCACGACGGATTGAGAAGCTTCGAAGGGAGTTCTTGTGGGGTAGTGGAGGGAACGTTTTTCGGTATCATTTGGTGGATTAGGGGAGGATTTGCCAATCCAAAGTGGCAGAGGGTATAGGGGTGCGGAGTTTGGTGACTTTTAATAGGGCTTTGTTGGGTAAATGATTGCGGCGGTTTGCTTAGGAGCCAAAAAAAGGTGTGGAGACAGGTGGTGGCTGTTAAATATGGTTTAGGTAGGGGGGATTAGGGGACTGGGGAGGTGACTGGCTCTCATGGATGTGGGTTATGGAAAGGTATTTGATTGGGGAGAGTAGAGTTTTGGGATCAGGTGGGGTTCCGGGTAGGGGATGGGTTATGAGTGCATTTTTGGAAGGATTGGTGGTGTGGGGATGTTTTGATGGAAGATCGTTTCCCTTTGATCTTCACTATTGTGATGGATCGGGAGGCTATGGTGGCATCTTATTTGGGGGGTGGGGGATGTGGTGGTTTGGAATATTAGGTTACGACGGCAGGTTTAGGATTGGGAGGTTACTCAGTTGGTAGAGTTATGAGGTTACTTGTATGGGTTGGGGGTGGCTAGGGTGGAGGAGGATGCCTTGGTGTGGAATGTGGTGGGGACTAAGGGCCGTTTTTCTGTTTCATCATTCTACTGGAATATGGTGGGGGAGGTGAGAAGGGATTTTTCTTGGCAGAGTATTTGGGTTCTGAGGACTCCGTCTAAGGTGGCCTTCTTTATGTGGACAACAACTTTGGGTCGGAATCTCACACTTGATAATTTGATGCAACGTGGTCATATTTTAGTCAATTGGTGTTATATGTGATGTGAAGATGCAGAATCTGTGGATCATTTGTTCTTGCATTGTCGTGTGGCTTTTCGTTTGTGGGGCTCTATATGTTCTCTCTTTGGGATTGTTTGGGTACAACCGCGGGGTGTGTTGGACATGTTGTGGAGTTGGTGTAGGGTTCGGGTTGGTCGTCGAAGGCGGCGTGTGTGGGCTTTGGCGCCGTTGTGTTTGACGTTGCTAATGTGGTTCGAGAGGAATAGACAGACGTTTCAAGAGGCGTCTCATTCTGTGTCTTGGCTCCAAGGTCGTTTACTTACAGTTTTATACAGTTGGGTTGAGCGAAAGGTTGATCCAGATATGTTTGCTTTTTTAGATTTTTTGAATGATGTGATTGGGTAGGAGTTGGTTTTTCTTTTCGGTTTTTCTGTATTCATTGCATCATCTTGATGATTTTCCAATAAAATGTTTATTTATTTATCAAAAGAGTTAAGTTGGATTTTTGTCTTGAAATCTCTAAACATGTTATTATTACATGATTTCATGAACTTTGAATATAACATTACCTTTCTTGAAATCATGAAAAGTATTATTTCATTAATTTTTGGTTTTTTTGGGGTTAAAACCTCAAAAAGTGTAATGGCCCCGTTTGGTGTAACTGTTAAAACAGCTTATAGATTATACCTTAACAGATTATAGATTATGACTTTAATCAGAAATTGTAAATCTATTTGGTGTAGCTGTTGGATTATAGATTTAAGTTGCTGAGTAGTGTTTGTTAAATAAGCTGTGAAATAGCTTTTTCAATTAATTTTTATTTTTTGTTTGTCTACATTTCTCATAAAAAATAATAATAATAATCTATAGTCCATTTGGGTCTTTTTCTATTTTTAAAAAAATAAAAAATAAAAAAAATTAAGAGTATAACATAAATTAACATGTCCACATCAGAAGCTGATAATCAGAAGTAAGGGGTGAGCAGCTTCTCAGAATCAGCTTTTTTGAGTTAAAATAAGCTGCTAGAATCAGAAGCTGTTTAAAATAAGTTTAACCAAACAGTCCAAAATAACTTTTTCAAAGCTAAAAGCCATAAGTTAGCTCTGAAAAGCTGAAACAAACACCCCCAATGTATGGCATGTTTGATGACTAATAGTAAAAAGAACATGTGATTTGGACAACTTTGAATTTTGAGAAATTGGGGAAAATGATATAGTTAGATTAATCATGGGTTAAAATGAGCTAGTCTAAAAGATGGTGTGATTTAAAGTTGAATTACTATTTTTCCCATGATTTTTACCCTAGTTGTGCTTTTTAGTTTCTTAAAAATATATGTTTCCATGACTATTTTATTATTTTAGTTGTGTTTATAAGTTATTTGGATTATTTTATAAAGGCAAGAAAGGTAATTTTCACACTCTAGGGGTAAAATAGTCATTTGGGAATATTTGCAGTTATTTAATTGAAATTGCCACGTAAGAAATTAAATTGGGGTTCATGAAGGGCAAATTGGTAATATCATGCTTTGCGGGCATTTTGGTAACTAAAACCTTAGGGGTAATCTGGTAAATTGTGCTTTAGGGGTATATTGGGCATTTCACACTAAGAGTATATTACTATTATAATCGTAGGGGCAAATTGGTAAAATTGGCTAAAAAGAGCATTGTTGACAAAAAAAATGGCTAAGTGTTGGAAATTACTCTAACTATCGAATAGTGGGAATAGGTGGATGTGTACGTATGGCAAGGCTAGAAAAGATAGAGTTAAGAATAAGTATATTCGAGAATGGATAGAAGTAGTACTGATAGAAGATAAGTTGAAAGAGAATAGATTGAAGTGGTTTGGCCATATACAACGAAGATCAACAAAGACAGTAATGAAAAGATGTGATACAACAACGGTAGATATAAGTGTTAGCGGAAGAAGCAGACCTAAATTGACGTGAGCTAGTGTAGTAAATAGAGATATAAACCTCTTGAATTTAACTAACAAAATGACCTTCGATAGAGTCGAGTAGAGAAGAAGAATTCATGTAATGATGGGACTTAAGACTTGGTTTGGTTTGGTTTATCGAATAGTGGGAATCTAAGTATTAAATAATCAGTTTTGGTATTTACTATACTTAGTTGTTTTTCGAGTGCGTCCCAGTATTATTGATTTTACGGGCTTGGCCCGAGTTATAGGCTTATAGCCGGTATTGTGGTCCAGCACACTTGAGAGAGATAGTGGATCTAGCTATTTGTGGGTTAGACCCCCGGATGTTGCACAGTTTAGAGCAGTAGTAGCCTCCGGTGGTTGAGCATGGAGTTCCTTTCTGACGTGCAACCTGGAGGGAGCCTGGGGCGTGATCAAGGTAGGACCTATTATGTACTTATTTACTACTTGGACACGGTATGTATTAGCAAGTCATTGTTAGCGGTTATTGATTTCGGATTATTTCTTTTATGTAATTGTCCTAGTGTGAGTTATTAAATAAGATGAACTTAATGAGATTAAGCAAGTTAATCCAGAAATTGGGCATTTCATTGCATAATTTTACTTGTCACGACACTAACATGTTTACTAAGTAAGCAATGAGATTACTTTTGTCTGTCGGCAAGAGTGTCGAGACTTACTTGTTTTGCTAAGTTTAGATCCTATGTTAATTGGGCTTGTGTGCCTTTACACCTTTTTTCAGATTATTGTATTAATTAATTTTGGATTTGTAAAAACATTTATTTTCATTACCACATAATATACTTCATTTTGTTAGTTTGTGCGCTGATATGTTTAGTACATAGGAGAATGCTAGAGTTTTTAAACTTAAAAGGGTGAATTATTTCAAAAGCTATCAAATGACATGTTTCTCAATGCAAACCCAATTTTGCGAATTTATTGAGAATTGGCTAAGGAAAGTGATTTTGAGTATGAACTAAGTAATAAAGAGAGTTTTTACTTAAAAAGCTCACGCTTAGGTTTATTAGTTTCTACCTAATTGATCTTTGAAAATCAGGGCATGACAGGTGTCGTGTAGTTGGAAGGGGGGTGTCAAGTGGGGAAGAGGCGTCAGAAGGCTTGGGTCTTGGCACCTTCATGTTGATGCGGATGGTTTGGTTGGAGCGTAATCGGTGGGTTTTCCAAGGGTCAACAGCTTCGGTGCCTTGTTTGAAGAATAGGTTTTTTATAGTTTTGTCTAGTTGGGTTTTGGGGACAGTGGATCCGGATGTGTTTTCCTTTATGGATTTCATTGATTCTTTATATGTTTAGATATAGATGAGGTGTTGCCTGTATTTGTTAGCATCATCTTGATGCTTTTTCTATAAAATTTACTCCTTATTTATCAAAAATAAAATGTAGGTGTGCAACTATAAAGAGGGATGTGCATGAGATACACACCTGGTTCTTGTTTGCATCAACGAGAATGACATTTGTTAATTTTGACTGCACTTCAGTGGTTTTGTTCTTTACACCAACCTACTCCAATACAATTAAATGTCAGGATGTGCTACGACAGAAAGGAAAGAATAATGATCATATGACAAATAAAGAAATATGAACCACAGAGCATTCTTACAGAAGAAATATGAAATCCAAGAGAAAAAAAGTGAAATACATGCACAACTCAAATGACTTCTTATAATACTGGAAAAGTAAAACTTCAAGCTCAAAGAGATAAATCAAATGCTACATGTTTAAATAACAAAAATATCACCATTGGAAAAATCGCATTTTATCAACATATATATATTTATAACATTAAAACAATACCAAAAGAATAATGAACAAGCAACAATTCTGGCCAAATAAATTATGCTATGAAATTTTTAACTCAGGACAACCAACACCAGCATCCATAGGCTGTAGCATCCTCATATAGTCAGACTTGCAGTATTTATGGATTATAGATTATAGACTTACAGACTTATTGTACATATGACATGGTTTGAAGTACAGAAATGAGATGCACAAATCCCAAGTATTGGAGATTTCTTTTTTCTTTTCTTACTGGACCATACAGAGTTGAGAACTTACTACATATGGGACTGGGGCATCCAAAAAGTCCAGCATGTCATTTGGCAAAACCTGGAAGTTCATACATACAAACAATGAAAATAATAGTCCAAACGAACAACCAGAAGAAAAATAAAAGAATTTGGCAACAATTCAATGCCCCGGAAGAAATAATTGTTCATGAAAAGCTGAATTAAACATATCAAGTGCAGGAAGGAACAATACCGGCATTAACAAGCTCTGCCATTGGTAAGGACGAATCAGTGGGATTATGGACAGGACCAAAGCAGACAATATACCCTGTAAACCAAACAAATTAAACTTTTGATCTAATGGATTTGACAGGCACAATGACCTGTGGTTTTTTACAGGAGGAGATTATTGTTCCCAAAGGTTTTTGTCCTTTGTCTGTATTTATTTTACTGTGATATTGTGCGGATGGCTTATCAGTAATTGATATATATATATAATGTCATTGGATCATTGAATTATTTATTTTCCTTGATGAGTTTTAATTGTGGTAATTTGAATTGAGAGTTTGGCCTATTCACTCCCTTCTAGGCAGAAACATGTCCGCCTCCGGCTTATGATTGGTGTTCAATATTTTTTTTCTTGGTGTGGGCATTAACAGTCCATAAGTCCATATCAACGAATATGATATGTCCTAGATTTATTCTGTGAGAAAAAAGTAAAAGCAGGGGTTGTGTGTATAAAGCACAGGAACCAAATTTTCTCACAACAGAACGAATGACATCCACATAAAATCATGATCAATTTGATGCAAGTACACGTACCAAATTTGAAGAAATAACCACAATTTGCTTCTCCAGGAGAGCCCCAGCAAACAATGTTAACACCTGTAATATGCGAGTAGAATCAACACCTCATAACTTTATTCAACCATCATATAAAATTCTAGACAATCACTGTAGCAAAACATAGGTTAAAACCACCAAGTTACAACATATGGGACTCGACAAAATAAACATATTCAGTCTGAACAACACAAAATTGAGCAAAACTGAATTAAAACCAATTGACAGATGTCATATCACCTTTCAGTTCCTGTTGTTAGAACACTAGATAATTTATGCCCAACAATCTAATGATTTTGATTTTGGTTTCACTTATTTTTTATTCTTTATCACAAGAAATATAATTGAAATTTGGGGTCTTTCAGCTCCACTGCAAGGGCAGATTCTGGTGTTCCAAACCACCAAACAGGTCATTAGAGAAGAGTTGCAGCTTGAAAATCTGCAATATCAAAAACCTGGAAGCAATTGCACGAGTCTATTGTGTATTCATGTGAATCAGAAAGCCAACAAGGACAATGATACTTGGGTGGGGGGAAGGGAAAAAAAAAGTAATCTAAGCCTGCAAAAAAGGTGCCCCTAGTCCATGTGGTACCCAAAAAACCACAGATCCCCCGCTTGGGAATAAAACATGTATCAGCATTACTAGTTTAAAAAAGGTTAATATAGCCAAGCCATCACAAAATAACCAAACTCTTGAGTTGCACATAGAATATCTTAAGACTGATTCTATCATCTTTCCTATATTTTCTAATATGCGATTTGATAATATTCATAGACCTTTGCCCATGCACCAAGCAGGACCTACAAACACCCCAAAACCATCCAATGTACTTCAGTGACAGTACAAAATGTTCAATTTTTTTATTTTATATTTTTTTTATTGCCACTGGAGTGTCTGGAACAAAGCCCGACTACTCCCCAGGGTGCACAAGCCCTCGGCAAGAAGTTTCCCGCAAGTGCATCACCGTTAATTCAAGGGTTTTCTCCCAGTCCGATGGCCCCAAGGAATTGTTAGCACCTAAAAGGTTTCGATCCCTGAACCTTGAAAGAAACACACCCCCAAGACCCAAGGCCTTGCCACCAGGCCAACCCCTTGGGGTTTACAAAATGTTCAATTTATCTTGTTTCATAGTATTAATCTTAAGAAGATAGAAGTGGGTACACAAAAAAACCACATCTGAGGCATTTGGGGTACTCTGCCAAGGTTGCCTTTTCAATCATCTGAAGTTTGTATCCCAGCTTGTTCAATGGATCCTGGTCGGTAATCATGTTTGATGATCCACTTTTTTAGTATTGCTATGTAATCCTTCTTGTTCATTTCTTTCAACAAAAAGATCCATCCTTTGTTCTTGCAAGTTCAGTGTTCAGTTAAGATAGTTTCCAACACAACTACAGAGAGTCATATCCCAACTTGAGGCAAAGAATCTATTGCACATGTTTATTTCATCATCTACTCTATCTAAAGGAACATCTTCAATTAAATAATAGCTAGACATACCTTTTCTCATAACATTGTAGACAATTGTTTTGGGTTTTCCCTCTTGATATTGTACTAATTTGACTTTGAAAATTAACTATGTTTAAAAAAAAATTAAATATCCTTAAATTGGAAGACAAGAAGGCACACAAGAACAGATATCACAAGTTCCTGGAGCATAAAGTGAAAAGGGAAGTACACTGAAATATGATGGACACAGCGTAATCCCAATAAAGCTCAGGTTAATGTTGAAGAATCTCTATATGACTGTAACATCAATACGAAAGAACATTCAAAGCATAACAAGAAGGTTATCAACATCTTCGCATTAAGTTGACATTATCAATATTGTGCAACAACTGTCACTGTATTTGATTCATTATTGTTAAGAAAATGAAAGGTTCATGATAAAGTGACGATGACATTTGTTATTGATATGAAATTGAAACATGATTCCCAGAAAATTGATTACAAAAATCAACAACAATCAAGAAACATGGGAAAACAAGGATATACATAAATGCTTTCTTTTGAAGGACACAAACATGCTACTTCCAAACTGGACCACAGACTCACATTCTCAAGTCGTAAGGAGCCACATAGCAATGCAACAGCCCATACAGATAAAGACTTTGCCTCCTCCTCCGCCATGAGGGCACTGTGTGCCTAAAGAAACCAGACGCATGTAAGAGAAGACAGAAAACATAACGAACACCAAGCAACGAAGTTTAACAAAAGAAAAACATTAAATAATAATAAAAAAAATATAAAAGAGAATAAAAACAAAGTAAAACATAAACACTTCGGATTAGATTAAAAACAGGCTTAGTTTCTCTATCATCACAATCACAAGATGTACCTCTGCTAATTCCAAACTACTGCTGCATGATTTCAAATCAATTGTTGACCCAGCAATATGTAGAACTGTCTCATCAGGTCTATGAAATTCCAAAGGATGCAGGTGCTCCAAAGGGTGGAACGTAATTGTAGAACCCCTTGCAGGGATAGGTAACCGGTAATACTCACATATTATTTGTAAGGATCCGTGGTTGTTCCCCTACAAATGTGAACAGCAAGAAAAGACTTTACACCCACAGTAATGGTATGGCAAAGAGCTTAAGAAATACATGGGAATTTCTTAAACAAGATGCAAACCTTAGCCCAATCAAGAATATCACTGTGGTCACTGGAATATTCCTGGCCTGAAAAGGATGCCTCTTCTGTCTCTACTTCATCGAGGTCACTCCTAAAAATTCTGTCTTCACTCGGAGAGCCCTGGAAACTGCATGGAAATAGCATCAAGTTAACTCTAAAAGTTAATGTACTACATACATAATTTCCATTTGGTTGTGATATATCACAGATCAAAACCAATTAGTCAACGCATCCATGCCTTGATCAGGTTTTTAGGCTCTCTATGCAAGAAGTGGCATAGACTAAACTACTACTTTTATGTAACATAACTAAAGCAACATTAGTGACTAATGGACACACAAAGCATACAGGAAACATATTGAAATTCTCACATTGTGGTCTTCTTGCACTATATCTCCATGATTCCGAATCATACTCATCAAGAGGAAGACTATAATTAAAGTATATTACAGTACATGGGCAATTTAATAATAATATTTATGTGCATAAGGTTAAACACATTTTAGTACTTTACTTGCACAAAGATACACTAAAATGAAAATGGTTCAAGGCCTTCTTTTCACTGACATCTATTAAAGTTATTTTGTTTTATGCCTTATAAAAAATAGATTGATTATAAAGATCCCCTGCGGATTCCAGAAGACATTTCATTTCTTTTCTTCTTTTTTTTTCTTTTATATATACGAAAAGGAGAAAAAATAATTTTAATCCATGGCAGAAATCACAAAGTCCATTGACTAAAAAAGAGAATTTTTTTTTTTTTTTTTCCCCTTTTGATAGAAAGAATTCTAGTTTAAATAGAAAAGAGTTGTGTATGCTAAAGCAATGATGAAATGTTAATTATTCACAACAGCAAGCCTTTAGGTTATATGGGTTGCATCAAGAGAATTCTGGTTCAATGACAGCAAAGAATGACTACGAATCTAAGATACCTTGTGGAAGATTCAGAGCTTTCATATTGTTGATACCGCAGAAGTGGTAAAACAGCATTTGGAAAACATCTTTCCACCAGTTGCTTGTTTGTTACAAAATCATCAACATGTGTATCACAAGCTTCAGAGATCTCACTTGTAACTCCATTTTCTCTTTTATCTGGAAGTTTCCCTATTGCAGGATCAACTGGGACAACACCACTGCCATTCATATCTCTCTTCAGCAAGTGGTTATTCTTGAGCATTTGGTGCTCCCTGTGACACACATCATCCATGACTTTTTCAGAAAGAGAATCATTTGGGCTTAATTGGGGAGTATCTACCGTTCCATTCAGCACGTCATTTGCTCTATCTTCCGATGAAATACCATCAGAGTTTTCTTTTAAATTTTCTTCCTTGCCATGCCCCTCAGATGATTCCAAATCTAAATCACTAATACCTCTTGTTAACCGTTCCAACCTTTCTTCAGTGAAAATGCTACAGGAGAGAGAGAGAGAGAGAGAGAAAGCAATAACAAAAAAAACAGTTAAACTAGATTATGAAATTGTTAATAGAATCTTCTCCAAAAATGCATCCAAATTATAATAGAAGTTCAAAGAATAATAAAACATCAAATAAACTGAACACATATTTTTCTACTGAACAACAGAGGTCAACAAACAGAAAACTTGCATTTGATTTATATTTATCATTGAGCAATTGCAGGAAAGAATAAAAACTTCGCAATATCGCCTTCTGTATGTAAATCCTAAAGAGATATTCACTTCCAAAAGGCCAAAACGAAATAACATTTGAAGAAGATATAAGGCTGCACAAAACATTTGGAGCCTAGAGTTAAGTCAAAAGTTATGATATGTCCATATTTTGATCCATGTTTAGAATAGCATATATTGATTCTAATTGTCTGTATATACATATTAATATAACTAAAAGTACAACTATGCCTACTTGCAATACTAATATAATTGGGCAGTTAACATCAGGTATTATAAATAATAAATAAATATGCATAGTGAGATGCATGTCTGCAAACAGTTACACATGGATTATGTTTGGGATGAGTGGCTTTTACCCAAAAAGTCACTATAAGTTGTCATATCACTCTCTTTACTTTATGCACATATTTTCGTGAAAATCCAATTAAAATAGTCATTTACCAAATGGGGCCATAGTACTAAAAGTTTCGGTATATGTAGCTAATAGTAGGCTCTTCTCACTCCCCAACATTGAACATCTGGCATTTCTTCATTCCCACTCCCCACCCAGTTCTACTGCTATTAAATGATATGCAGCTTCAGAAGTACAAAACTCTTCAATGGGGAACCAAAACTTTCTATTGGGAAATTCACACAAAGGTTTTTGCAAATTACAATCACAGACACTACTCTTAAACTAAGCATTTGGTTATAAACATCAACAATGACACATACCAGCCTTAAGTACTCCTTTCTATTGTGAATTAGGAAGAAGGCAGGCTACAAAAGACACAACCATTTGAACATCTACCTTTTCAATACGCTGAAATGCAGTTCAAAAAATGGAAACCTTGAAAGAATGCAATAACACCGCCGTGTTGTTAACATATGGCGCCTCAAACCTGACCGGGGAGGTTGTCCATCTGAAATCATCGAAATCAATCCAGAGGGTTTTTGTACTATTTCCTCAACTAACACACAGCAACCGTACAAAGTTGAATCATCAGCAACCTTGATAACGAAGATAATGTCAGAATGTCTATTTCGGAAAAGTAAGATGAATACTATAAACACAAATTTTAAGCACATCATATTACATGATAATATAAAACTAATTAAGTTATAAGGTTGAAGCAAAACAAGATTTGCTCACAACAACATGCATAAAATCAACAGTTGGCATATACGAAAGGAACTCAAACAAAATAGGCATATCAACAGTAAATGAAGTAAAGTTCTTTTCATAATCAAGACCAAACAGGAAATAACCAACTAATTAGGTCACCTTGGCCATGTTTGGTTTCTCCGAATGATAAAACTGTCTAGATTCTTGCTCGCCTGATAAATGACCAGGAAATCTTTGACAGTATTTGAGTTGTCTAAGTTCCACTTCCATGAGCCATTAACTCAGTTATGACATACAATGCCATACCAAAATCTTTTGGTTACAAAGAGAAACTTAAAGAAAATTTTAACAATAAAAATATCAGCCATCCGGTATCCTGCAATGTAACCTTGTAAAAATCGAAACTATGGCGTTCAACATGGATTCAAAACTTTATCTAGACTATTTTGAAGATTGCCTCATCGTACTATCTACATTACAGTATTATATCCATGTATCTCATTACAAAATACACCATAGGTATCTTTGAAACATTAACCTTGTAGTCAAGGTTTTAAAAAGCGGCCGCAACCATTACGTAGCGCCGTTACATAACGGTTTTGGCGGTTATCGCCACCCATTACGGCCGCTTTTGCAGTGTGATTGAGATTCACAGGTGTGTCGGCCGTAGCGGTCGTAACGGTGCCGTAACAGCCTGTTACGCACCGTTACGTAGCGGTTCCAAACTGTTTCTTTCGAAAAAAACACACCAAAAAAAAGTTGAAAATGAGGGAAGAGAGATAGAGAGAAAAGGGAAGATAAAGAGAGAAAATGGAGGAGCAAGAGATACAGAGAGAGAAGAGGAAAGATGAAGAACATGTTATTGATTTGTTGAAACTGTAAGACCTATACTATTCTATTCAGCTGCTATCACTAAACCATTTTGTTTGTGTGTGTCTATCTATATATTGTTTGAAAATAATAATAATAATAATAAGTGTGGTCATTATCTATTTGGCTTGATTAAAATATATATATATATATATATATATTTAGGCTCTTATTTATTCTCTTATTTTTGTCATTATTTATCTTACATATAATAGTTAGTGATTGATCTTTTGTATTATATAAAGTCATTAATTATTAAAATAAAATGTAAAAAACTCAATTTATAGTAATTTAAAAATATAAAATATATTGGATCATACTTAAAAATTTACAAAAATTGATCAATACTTATTTTTAATCCAATAAATATGATTATGAAAAAAAAATATGCATATCGGTAAGTTTTTTTCAAATTGTGCGAAAAATAAAAAAATTCACGGTTCTGGTTACCGCAACCGTTATACTACGGCCTTTACACCCCGCAACCGCAATCGTGTCACCGCCACCGTTACAACGACCGCAACCGCTTTTCAAAACCTTGCGTGTAATCGTATTTTGATACTATGCATAACAATAGCTTGAGAAGAATCAAGTCAGGATATTAAGAAATGATAAATATTAAAACAAAAACAAACATTGCAAATAGACAGAAATTCACTGTATAGGTCTTCATAAGTACTGCAATTACAGTTGAAGTAGTGAGAAACCCATTTTTATTCCATGAACTATATGGAGTTAACATCAAATAGAAAAGTAGTAGAGCCAACAGTTTCTTGAGTGTAACTGCAGAATAGGCAATTTTCTCTAGGTGTGGGAGTGCCCTTTGAATTAGGGGCTACCCCTTTTAAGCTTAAGTTGAATTCGAGGAGCCAAGCAGCACATGGTAATACAAGAAGCAGAAATGAAGTAATATGGTATGTCATAAATTACCTGTAACCGGAATACAAATGACAGCTCACTTTGTTTGAGGTGGTCCTGTAAAACTAGCAGCAAGTTAACTAAGATCATTGTCTCACAATCAAATGATATGAATGAACTAAAATGGTAATTGAATTGACTTGGCAGTCATAAGAGTTGCACACTGGAGGAGGCTAATGCAGAAAATTGAACAAAGGAATGACTTCATCTTGAAATGGCCGAAATAGTAAAGATAAGAAATAGCAGAAATAGTAGAGTCACACACAAAATCAAATTGAAATAAAGAAAATAGAAGAGAAACATACTAAAGCATAACAAATAGTTAAAAAGGTAAGATAAAGTAAACATTAGCTTTTATCTGCTCACTTCACTAGATGATGAAGGTGATGATGAGGATGATAACAAGAATGTCTAATAATATGATTGGGGAAGCTTTAGGATACCTGCCCAAGAAGTATTTCATTCAACTCGCTCATTGAAGAAGTTTTTTCAATAGCATGAACCTGAAATCACATGAACCAACATTTAAAACTCTAAAAATCACTTCCATATTGAATGATGGAAAATTTCTGAACAAAGGCTACATAATGTTGGGCAAATCTCCTTTGAGAGTAAACAAAAGGATATATTTTTAATTCTACAAAAGTTGAAATGTGCACATCCATGGCCATGTACTAGTTACAATAAGAGAAAAGGAAAAGAATTCGGACCCACAAACAGATAATACAATTAAGAACTAGAAAATGCATAACCCTAATTAGCATAATTATGTGAACATTATCAAATGCCAAAACATCAGAGAATATGATAATATAGCAGATACTTGATAACTAAGTTCGTTCAATCATTTTAAGTCTTCAACTGCTCTGCCAGAAATGATGCATCAAGATGGTCACACTCCTTTAATTATGATGAAATGGAGATATGTGAGTGACATCAAACCTCATCTGTGACTTCTATGTGCCCATCCATGTGTTCACGAGTATCTCTCAAAACTTCCAAGGTTTACTTTCTTGAATTTAAATAATATTAAGCATAATTAAATTCTATACAGCCAAAATGCCCATGTAACTACAGTACATATCTGGAAATAATTTTCAATTAGCACCCTATTCAAAGTACATGAACTCATTGACGAATAAATCTCATATCCAACTAACCTCCACGCCTCCAGGAAAGCAGAATGAAAGAAGATCCTTATACTTAAGTGGCAGCTGTTTTTCAGGAGGATAAACAAATAAGACCTGAAAATAAAAAACTGAGAGGTCATCCATCATATCCAAAACATGTCCAATGATCTATAAAATTATTATGTTCAATGTTTAGCATAAAAGAATTAGCACCTGGGGTTCAAGGTTAGGTTCTACACGAGACTGATGCTGACCACTTAATGCACTTCGAAATTTACCTGAACCTTCAGACTTTCTCCCGAAGTACTGCTTGTGAAGTGCCTGAATATCACAATTAGGATGAAGTCCAACAACCACCATGCTCTCAAAAAGCCTTGATGGCTCTTTTAAAGGCCTATGATCCTGTAAATTTGAATAACACACTTAGTAAAACCAATGTTGCTATAAAACCTACCATAGAAACACAAAGGAACAAAAAAATTTCATTTTTATTACGACCATCTGTATAAAAGGGAATGGGAACACACAAGAATCGAAGGCATTTGACATTATGAGCAGGTTTGAACTCAAATTGCACAACTTCGTATAAGCTTTCCATTCAAAGTAAACACTACATGGTGAAACAACAAGACATATGCAAGATGACAACAAGTACCAGAGCAAAATGAACAGCTGATTGCTAAAGAGATAAGTAACCTGGACCAAAAAGGGTTTTACTTGAGATAAATATACATACCAGGGACTGCAATTGGACGCTTGCCCATTGACGCTTTTGGCTAGTTAGTACTTCTGGGTTATAAGTTCCACTTTTCACTTCAGGAGGCTGTGAAAAGCCTTTTAGTACTCTAGAAACTTGGTGTTGAAGTTTATGTAGTGGACTATTGCCGTTGTCATCTTTTGATGAGAATACCACAGATGGACGGGGTGAACGAACAGTAGTGGCAGCAGCAGCTGCAGCAGCAACAGCTCTTGCAACATCTTCTGTTGTCTGCATAAAGAGTGAAGCACTCCAGCTAGGGCTACCTGAATCTTCATTCTTCACCATATTTGAAATTTCACCTCCTGCAAAGCAAAGAAAAGCATACATAAATAAGTCCAAGTCCCACATTAAAATAAAATAAAAATAAGATAAAAATTAAAAATTAAAAATTATTAATAAAGAAAGAAAACAAGGAAGCATTCCATAATAAAGAATTAAAAGACGGAAATCAAGACATGAGATAACACCCTGAGGCTTGAGGTTTGAATCTACTTTGATGATTATTCTTCATAGGTATGGTAGGGTAAGGTGCACCTAAGATGAGCACAGACACAGAAATCCTTCCAAGCTCAACTGATGTTTGAGGACTGCAACTTACATTGTATATTGGCAAAACCATTCATTTTTCTTATTGTTGATTTTCTCTCTAATTATACTGCCATTGTTTCCCATATTTGACACATATTTTCAATACTTATCAGGCATAATTCCTGGTATAATTTTAAGAGATGTATATAGCTTCTTTAAGCTGCAATTTGATACAAATACTTTCTTTGTTGGCAATAACATTAACAACCACGAGTACTAAAAGAAAAGCACATCCCCAAGCATGTAAAAGGAGCATGGGTGCATAACCACACAACAAAACACACAAAGGGGTGGAGAAAGCTTAAGGCTCATCAACAGGACTCGCTCAATGCATCGCGCCTATTGCTATATGGGTCAGTAAGCCAACTAATCACAATCAGCAAGATAAGTCATGTTCCATGAATTCAGTCCTATCAAGCTTCGGTTCGTAATTTTCTAACTCCTAAATAATATCAGCCTAAATACACAATCCGTTCTACCACATTTGCAGAGTGTTGAATTCTACTCTAATTTCACTAGTCAAAAAGACAAATAAAAAATCACTGAGGCAATACAAAGAACCCTGAGCTCGAACTACACACACAAAAGTTGCAATCGTTCGAGTTATTTCAAAGCACACACTCACTTTTCCTTCAATCAAAAGGGTCGGTTTCAAGGGAAAAAGACCCCAAATTACAAACTTCCATCAAACCTGTGCTCTTTTTGAACTTCAAACAGTCCAAATTCATACAAAGACACCAAAGACTCTGACTATCGATCAAAAACGCGCGATTAATCATAACCAAAACATGGAAATTGAAGACAAAAACATACAAAATTTCAAATAAGGTGACCACTAGTTAAGATGAAAATTTGGAAATTCAATCTAAGTTACCATCAAATCAGAGAGAAATCCAATAAAATAATTGCAGGAGATATTGAAACAAGAAAATTCACTAAAAAAAACTTTTCAAAAAAATGGAAACGAGACCAACAACTCACCTTATCGAAGATCAATGAATAGAGAGGAGAAGAAGTAGATATATATAGATTATATGTATATATATAGAGAGAGAGAGTTCAGGCGGCCATAACAAAGACAGCTCCTTTGTGTTTTTCCTTCTGCAATTGAAGAAACCCCAAAACACAGAGAAAAAAGCAAAAAAGTAGTGGGTTGAAGAAGTACTCAATTGTATAGAATACAAATAAAAAAATTTATACATTATTTATTTTAAAATAAAATATCATTAAAATATATATAACATCACAGGGCCTGTGGTGGAATTGGTGGCAGGTGGCAGAAAGTGTGGGATCTAAGGGGATTTTGGAACCTCGCCTAAAAAGAATGGACACAAACACACAAGACAGCATGGATACACCGACATGACTATTTTCAAAAAAATGCATGACACATGTGGAGGACACGTGTAAAATATATAGTTTTATGTATTTATTATTTCTCATACATATGAATATTTCATTCAAAGATTATTTTTTATATTTTTTTTATTTTTTAAATAAAAAAAAGGAAAGCAAAGATAGGTCTCGCGTGCGTCAATGATCAAACTGCATTTAGGACGGTCTTTTCAATTTTTTTATTTTTTATTTTATTTTTTAATTAATGTTTAATTAATGGCTTTGACTAGTTGCTAAAATATGGGATGAATATGTACAACAAGGATAGAGATGATGTTTGGCGACAAGAGCAAGAATCCGAGGTCTTGCCCTTTTTTTTGGTAGGTGGGGTCTGACTCTAATACTAAGATTTTTTACCTATTTTATTGCTTGATTATTTTAGTATTTTTTGGTACAATAAACATTGTGAAATTTTGTTTCCCTGTACAATAAAGATAGGAGTTCTTCCTTTAATTATGATAGTTGATATACTTACGAGTTGTTTGGAGTGTCCTAAATAAGTGTATTTTTTATTTTTTTAAATTAAAAAATTGAGAAAGAAAATATAGATGTTTGGATTAACTTTTTGACTTTTTATGAAAAAATGTGTAATGAAAAATTATAAAAATGATTTGTAAGAGAAAATTAGAATTGGGAATTGTGCATCTGTAATTGTTGACTTTTGGTGAATAGTATTAACTTTTTAACTTTTTGAGTAACTTTTTGACTTTTTAATTTATTCTGGACTTGCCAAACTTGGCCTTATTGTGTGTTAGGATTTCTTTTCTCTCTATCCTTAGTCTCTCTCATTTTAAGCTTATCTATTTGGTTTTAATTATTGAGTTGTCATCATGACATTCACATGATTAGATTAGGATCATATATGCGCTTATCATATTTTAGTAGATAATTGCTATGTGGTGTGCTTTTCTCGATGATTCATATGTCATCTTTAGTAGCAATCGAGCTCGTAGAATTCATTTTGTATGTATGTTTGCATTTTGTAGATTATCATATCTACGATCATACATCTTTTCTAACTAGTTGTTTTGTTGCACTTGGTTGGAGTATCCGGTGAGTTTTCTTATTATTTTCTTTGCATATCATTTAGGCTTACATTTATGATCATGCATAGATTTCTAACCCTTAATGATCATGGCATGGTGCAAAAGAGTACTAGATGAGTCTTTCCCGTTTTCTATTGCATCGCATGCCTGTTTGCTTCTTATTATGTCTAGCACACTATCATGAGGTTACGTGTTTATATGATTGTTGGCTATTTTTGACACTTCGAAGATTAGAAATGTAATTAGAGCGTATCAATAAGGATTTGAAAGGTCTTTACAAATAATAAATGCTAATTTTATCATATGATTGTGTTAAGGTTCTTTTAGCCTCAATAAAAAGGACTTTACTGTGTTATGTTGAAAAGATGAACCAATATTTTTAATTTAAATTCGTAGCAAAATAAGAATGAGGAGAGACTAGGCAAAATTAGCTGTGTGCCCATAATAGTTTGTAGGCTTTGTCACAAACGTGCAGTGAAACAAGGGTCTCGATCCAAGACAATACTCACAGGAACTCCATGAAGCTGAACAATCTCTTTAACATAAAGTTCTGCCAAATAATCGACCGAGTCCCCTATACACATAGCAAGAAAATGAGCTGACTTAGTTAATCGATCCACTACCACCCAAACTGCATCATTACCTCGTTGTGTTCTAGGGAGGCCCAAAACAAAGTCTATAGTGATATGTTCCCACTTCCATTCTATGATAGACAGGGTTGTAATAACCCGGCGGGTCGTTGGTGTTCTGCCTTAACTTGCTAACAAGTTAGACATTTGGACACAAAAGATGCTACATCCCACTTCATACCCCTCCATCAAAATTGTTGGCCAAGATCATGGTACATTTTTGTACCCCCTGGATGTACTACAAGATGGGAGTGGTGGAATTCTCTCGAAGTACTTCTTCTCTACAAGACGCGGGTACAAAAAGACGGTCTAGATACCGAATATTAGAATCGGAGTCTACCCTTCAAACCATTTTCCTCATTCTCTTGTGTAATCTTTTCCTTGATTGCTTCAACTTCCAAGTCACCTTGTTATGCCTCTATAACCCGAGTTACAAGTGTCGGTTATGCAATGACAGAAAACAAGGCAGCATGTTCAGAAGATTCGCTAAGATGCAAATTAAATTCACTCAAATCACTTAACATTTCCCATTGGCAAGGGTACTCACGGATTTTTTACTCAAGGCATCAGCTACCACATTGGCTTTTCTAGGATGGTAGTGTAATTCAAAATCGTAGTCTTCCAAAAATTCCATCCGCCTTCTTTAACATAAATTCAAATTCTTTTGGAAGAATAAGTATTTAAGGCTTTTGTGATCTGAGAACATCTCAAATATCTCCCCCTTCCCATACAAATAATGTATCCACAATTTTAGGGGAAAAAATAACTAAGGCTAATTCTAAATCATGAGTCAGATAATTCCTCTCGTGGGTCTTCAGTTGGCATAAACCATAGGCCACTACCTTACCCCCTGCATCAAAACACATCCCAAACCTTCTCTAGAGACATCACAGTACACAGTGTAACCTAAACCTCTTTCTGGAATGACTAAGAATGGTGTAGTGGTTAATCTAGTTTTCAGCTCTGAGAAGAATTTCTCACATTGTTCATTCCAGACAAACTTCACACATTTTCTCGTTAGCCTAGTCAACAGAGAAGCTAATGCAGAGAAGTCTTTCATGAATCGCCTATAGTAACCGGCAAGACCCAAGAAACTACGGATTTCAAATGCGTTCCTAGGTTGCGCCCAATTTTGTATTGCCTCAACCTTTGAAGAATCTACAGTAACCCCATCCTTAGAAACAATATGACCTATGAACTTCACTTCAGAGAGCCAGAATTCACACTTCTCATACTTAGCATATAATATATGCTCCTTAAGTAATTGCAACATAATGCGAAGGTGCACCTCATGTTCTTCCTCGGAAGGTGAATACATAACAATAACATCCACAAAAACTGTCACAAATTTGTCAAGACACTCTCGGAAAACCCGATTCATCAAATCTATAAAGGTGGCAGGAGTGTTGGTTAAACCAAATGGCATTACAAGGGATTCATCGTGGTCATAACGCATGCGAAAGGCCATTTTTGGAATGTCCTCTTCTTTTACACATAACTGGTGATAGCCCAATCTTAGATCTATCTTTGAAAAGCATTGAGAGCCCTTGAGTTGGTCAAAAAGATCATCTATTCTAGGCAACGGGTACTTATTCTTAACCGTAACTTTATTCAGCTTACGATAATCAATACATAGCTGCAAGGAACCATCCTTCTTCTTCGCCAAGAGCGCCGGTGCTTCCCATGACGAAGTACTAGGGCATATAAAACCCTTGTCTAACAACTCTTATAATTGTTCCTTCAAAACAAGCAACTCTGCTGGATCAAATCAATAGGGTGACATGGAAATGGGTGTTGTACCTGGCACCAAGTCTATAGAAAACTCAACCTCACGATGAGGTGGTAGTTCGGTTAGGTCTTCTAGAAAAATATCTGAATACTCGCAAACCACCCTAGAGAATATCCTATTGATCAAGGTAGCAATAAGGGAAGTGAATTTGCCTCGACTCCGAGAATCATATAGCAGCGTTAAAAGTTTATCAATTCTATTCCCCATAAAATAAATATAGTCGCCCCCAGCAGTACACATGGTAATTCTTCCCCGGTAACAATCTATCACTGCACGATAAAAAGACAATCAATCCATACCGAGAATGACATCAAAACCCGCCATCTCTAACAACACCAAACTAAAAGGACGTCGGCGGTCAGCAACTTCAATCACACACCTACGGCACCCGTGGTTCAACATTATCTTACCCCCAACTAGCAATTCTGCCACAAGAGAAGATTTTAATGGTTCAGCCTCTAACCTTAACATGAATGCAAATGAAGATGTTATAAATGAATGAGATGCCCCCATATTTATCAACACATGTGCTCAAGTATTATATACAAGAGGTGTACCTCACATCACCATTGGCCCAGTCGGCTGCTTGGATGCAGTAATTGCATAAACTCTCCATTGGGGCCTCTGTTCACTCTACTTACCTCTCTGATGATAGACATGCTGCACAGACTATGCAGAGGTAGCTCCATGTACAGCTCGAGATGCTTGCCCAGACTGAACTGGCAGATAAGTCTTCCTTTGGCTCTATTTGGCCTAAAACCTTTAAACACTAGCCGTTCGGTAAGCTGGGGACAAAATTTCTTCATATGACTCAATTGGCCACATTAATAACAAATCGGCAATTGACTTCCACCCAAAGCCAAGTTTTGAGAACGAGTAGAAGGTTGTCACGGTTGATTACCCCTTTGTGGACATGTAACGGACTTGTGTCCCCACTTACCACACCGATAACAAGTGATTTTACACTTTGCCCCATACTATCCGTATTCTTTCCTGGCATGGGATTTAATGATGCAGCCGGTACTGATGGTAGATAAGAAGATGTAGAACTCTTCGACTTCTTGGATGCCATAGAACCCTGTCGAGATTCAATAAACCCTTGTCTCTTAAGCCGTCGTTTCTTTTCCTCACCTTCTAGCATGATCTCAACATGTGTCGTAGACTCCACCAATCGGTCATAGTCTCGGATCATATTTTCCATCACTTTCATTAAGATTCCTAGCCTCAGCCTTTTCTCAAACTCTAGACATCTACGTTCTTCAATAGCCACCAAGTTGGGTG